TAAGTTTTTTTCTTATTTAACCACCACATCTTATTATTGTCCCAAACTCAAGAGTTACATGTCTGTTTGTTTTCAGAACGCATACATTTCATTCAGTTTCTGTGCTCGTTTCTTAAAATATGAATATGAGACAGCAGTGACGGAGCTCTAAAGGAAAGGGAGACCTGGCTGTGGAGAAAATCCCTACCTATCCTGTTAGAGCGAGAGGGTTTTAGACTGAAGTGGATCAAACCTACCGAGAAGAATTAATGAGCAACAGTCACAGATGCTCCTTGAAGACCCACCGGAATAAACTAACTGGGATTGCCATTTAAATAGATGGCTTGTCCAGGCAGATGTACCTACAGTATGCAGAACTGATGCTTGTTCTTTGAAAATTCTTCAAGTTCTTCTCGACTCCAGCTGGCCTCATCGACGAAGCCCGGGACCCTCACTGTTACAGACTCTTATCTCACCCCATGGACACTTCGCGTTACATTAAAGTATCCAGACTCAATGCTTTTTTATGTCTGCACATTTCTTCTTTATACTTTATACTGTGAACTTTTATACATTTCTTGGTCAATATTTTGTACCTTCCATCCTTTATGTTTCAGACACTATAGGTCTTTTGATTTTTATTTTTCCTTTCTCTTATATATTATCACTTAAATATTACTATATTTATCATTATGCACCAAGATACAAAGACAAATTCCTTGTATGCAAAAAATCTACACTGTTAACAATCACCAGGTTTTCACAATAACTAAATAAATTCTCCCAATAAACTACTGTTATAATGATTTAGCTGCTGTGAGTTTGAATTGAAACAGCTTTTGACGTGGCAATAAATCTGATTCTGATTCCGACTGTTCGTCTAAAAACATAATCTAATGGCAGAAATCCAAGAACTGAATCAACGCTAACTAGTTCTCACTTGTTTCTTGGCTCATGTACACCACATTTCATGAGATATCATAAGGAGAGGCATACAAAGTAACAAAGGGCATACACATAACCTTCTTGGTATATGCAAATTGTGCTTTCAAGGAATAAAGGTGTTGCTTCCTTCCGTGTCACCAGCACCTATCCATCCACAAATGAGTCACAAAGTGCTGGTTGCAGCCTGCAGGCTGAGGGTGTTTTACCCCCATGACTTTACGCAATGTAAGGTACGCGCAGGCACAAGGTTTATCAACTCAAAAAATCAACCTGTGTTACACTTAAGTCTTACCCAAAGGTCGGATGTGAACTTAAACCAACATGAAGCTGAAAACCGAAGCGTTTGTCATGTTATCATGACGCAAAAACCTGGAAAATAAATTAAAATCTGAGTTCTACAAGAATATTCACACATACAAGACAGGACAGATGATGATGGACAAAAGAAATGTTGGTTGGTCTTGGCCCATTAGATGGTTTGTTCCTGTTTATTAGCTTTCTGGTCTGGGTTTAAGGCTTATTGAGGGCAGTGGAGGGATTTGTCCTGGTGGAAATTTACCCAGAGGAGCTCTCAGTGAGTCTGTGCCTGCTGGTTAGAAATCACCCAGGAAACAGTCTGTGTGACATCAGGCACATTTCTTCAGCTGATTCTGTACTGTGGACTCTATCAGGGACTTTAGGGAAGTAGATTAGTCATTTTTCACATTGAATTCATATGCGAATGTCAACTTTCTTCAACAAAATGAAAATACATCTAGATGAGTGTCCTCAGGTTTGAAAGCTCTGACAAATTGTAACAATAAACAAAATACAATTAATGAGTTATTCTTAATTGTGGCTTATTTGTTACTCATAGGCCAAAAGCATCCAATCTTACCAAGGCATTTTATCATTACACAGATACTAGGATTTTTATGTCAACATACACCATTTGTGATGATTATTAGTCCACCTTCTACTTCCCCGACAGAAATATGTTCAGTTAGTGTCCCTGAAGAGTTTGATTATGCAGTGAAAGTGAAAAAGAAGTACTTGTAAGTGTAACATTATAGTGTCCTGTGTGCCATACTGCAAGTGAAAATAAAAACTAAATTATATTGCAAGGGAAACATGAGCTAGATCTGTTATTTGGACTGAAAATGAGACATGTACTGAAGCCCATCTTTAACAAGCAGTCAGTGTTGAGGAAAGGTTATATCTCCAACTGTTTGGAGTTTTTATGGCAGCTTCAAAATCTGTGTGAAAGTCTGTGCGAGTGTGCATTCTTACCCACTACGACGCGTGTGAGTTCTCGTGCAAATACGTGCATGTGCTCACTACAGACCTGTACCTGTGGATGTGGGTGAAGGACGGACATATTTTGGTTCGACATTGTCTCTAGTTTTAAATCGACTGTGTGGATGATTAACGGCAGCAGGCTTGAACCATAGACGTTATAGTTTTGAATTAAACATAAGAAAAACATACATCGAATGGCAGCAAGCACAAAGTATAGACATATTGTTATTAGTCCTTTATTCTAAGTGACGAACCTAACCTTCTTATTGCTCACTGGTAACTTGTTTTGATAAATAGTCGCATACAATCAGCGCTTTTTAACTGATTCCCTGCTGAACATGTCTCCTACTTCACTGTGAAGTCTGTTCTCTGTGTATTTGCACTGGTTGCTTCAAGTTTCTGAAGTTTATTTCATACTGGACCAAGATTGACCTCCAAACTATTTATGATGTTACAAATCATGCTTGTAGGCCCCGCCCCTTAAAACCAGATTCTCAGTGAGCTCAGAGAAACTTTCC